TTTTTTTTTTTTTTGTGTTGCTTTTACAGATGAGTTCTGTTCGGGGAGGGAAGGATAGTCCCCACACATCTGCCATCGGAGTTCTATCTGCATGGATATTGTTCTTTTGTTTCATCACACCTGGGGGGAATTCTTGACATTGTAACTTGGCACCCTTTTTGACTTTCTCATCCGCTGGCAAATCATGTTAACAGAGTATGGCCTCGATGTCAAGATGTCTTGACTGGGATCATGAGATCCTGTCAGGACAAGTGGATTAGAATAGCAATGTATCATTGCCACCCCATAAACTGAGAGTTGATAAGTCTTACTGGTTGCATCGAAAAGTGATGTATCGCACGTTGCGATTCTGGAGCCAAGGTTGTGAATTCAAATCAATCATGAATGAGGTTTATTGTCTGTAGCTGACTGTTAGATATTGGTGTTGACAAACCCAGCTGTACCTCTTGAGCGCGAGATAAAAGAGAAGAAGAAAAATAAAATCATCACAGTCATCATCAAGAGATTTACCCTTGTATCGCCATAAACGCCGGGCCTCTATGTCTAGAAGCATCTTCTAAACCGCCAACTCACGCCTGAACAGCGTCCCGCCACTTCTTGTACTCGGCATACTGCATAGTGGTCTTCTTGCCCTGGTAACGAGTGACCTTGAGATCCAAGTCCTTCCAGCGGCCCCGGCTGCCAGTCCACCCGGCCTTGCGGATGAGGCTGAAGAGCGCTTCGTCCTTGGTCCAGCCCTGCTCGGAGGCGACATCGGGGAGATATGTGGAGCCGTAACGGCGGCCGCGGTCGTGGAAGGAGAGCCGGATGCCGTGGACACCAATCTCCCAGTCGAAGATGTCATCGACTTCTTCAAAGTCTGTGAGTAGCGTGACTGCTACCTGCAGGGTGGGCAGCTCGGACTTTTTAATGGGCGGGAAGCGGGTGTCGTGAAGTGCGGAGATGAGGGCGTACTCTGGGATGCCTTCGGAGAGATCTTGGGATTCAAAGGTGCCAATGCAGCCACGTAGCATGGGCTCGTCGTCATCCATGGTATTCCATGTTACAAACAGCGGAGCGGAGCTCGGAAGAATGGGCAGAGAAGAGGTGCTCGTGGCCGGTGTTGATACACCTAGGGAGGTCGATGAAGAAGAGGATGAAGCACCGGCGTCAGGGACTGCGAGATGTTGAAGACTGGGGTCGTCGAGAGCTTTGGGCGAGGTGAGCTCTGACTCTGGCGTAGGTGCCGATAATTCTTGGATTTCTTCCAGAGTCAGGGCCTTTCGTTTGTTCAGATGAGCATCGAGGGCCTCGAAGCACACGATGCAGTGGACCTTGGTAGCCATCGGACGATGAGTAGACTGGGAAAATAGTCAGGAGACTGTTAGAATGGAGTATTTGTTACGACAAGAAGCAGAAGCGGCAAGTGATTATGCCTTTCAGCAAGAGCACGGGACGAAAAGACTGTCAGACGTAGAGGCACCGAGCGAGAGAATGTGAGATGATAGCAACAGCTGCAGAGCGTAGAAGAGAGGAGAAGGAAGAGGAGTTCAGTACAGAGGTTGGTGAGATGGTTAAAGGTAGAGTGGAGGGGTAATTCAGTGGAACTCTCCTGCTGTGCTCGACTCAGTGACAGCAAACCCAATTAAAAGACCAATACGAATTAACCAGCAGAGTCATTAGGAGGGGGCTTTTGAGGCGCTAGAGTTGTAAGATGCAGTATGGATAGCTGCATTAAGCTTAAAGCGCCATATCTGCTATGTTGGAAGAGGAAGCTTTGTTTGTATATCCTCAGGTTATTATCTGTAGGTGGTTTAGGCCTGATTCACCCCGCGATTGTTACCGCTGAAGGGCCCGCTGGGAGTCAACTTAAACTTTTTGTGTCAGTGGAGGCTGGGCATTATCTATAGGCACCATCAGGTAACGTAACCGGGGGTCTGTATCCATTTCTAACTTTAAAAGGCAATCTTTGCTTCAGACAACAATAACTTGATCGGATGAAACAACTGTGACTCTGTAGTGCAGAAATATCTATAACATATCGTATTATTCACCTGGTCAATGAATCGTGGGGGAGGGAGAAGGGCTGATACAAAGCCAAGTATCATCTTGCAACCGGATAGTGGACTGCCGCCAGTTTGATCTCCGCGCCCCGGTTACAGAACCGCTGAACTCCATGTTTCAAGCCCAGGATCCGACTCTTAATTCTCTCCAATCTTGATGATTCATCTGCAGTATCTAAGTTCTAGACCAGAGGAGCTGACGAAGCTTTTGACGTAGAGGCGTCGGCTACTTCAAGTCCCGACCAAGACGCATAGGATAGACGCTCAAATGCCGGGACCGAGATCCTCAAACACGTCTCATGAAGCTTATTCATTGTCTCGAGTTACGATAACATGATGACCCCTATAAACATAGTATGGGGGAGATATAGCATCTTGAAGATCTAGACGAGCAATACAAATAGCTGTGTCTTTCCAGCCCAAGTCAGTGATCTCTTCATGCTGAGCATCTCAATCTAAATCTTTCTTCTCTTTAGTCTCTCTGTTCAGTCTTGTCTTTTCTCGTCGCCGGCCGACACCTCAATTCCAATTTCTACCAAATCAACTTTGAATCACTCAACTTTTCTTCAGTCAAGATGAAGTTCACACTTTTCACTCTCATCACTCTCGTCTCTGCCGCCTCTGCCGGCTTGAGTAAGTCTTATTTCCCTCAACGCAGCCCAAATCAAATCCATCTAACATCTTCAAAGTCAAGCGAGTCGATGTCAATGTTCCCGCCATGACAGACGGAAGCGGCAACATTGTGGAATTCAACGCCGCAGAGGTTCCCACCAGGAAGCGAGCCATCGCTCAGCAGCAGCAGAAGCAGCAGAAGAAGAACAAGCAATAATTAGAAGCACCTACACTTGCTTCAGGTGGTTGAGAATGAGCTGGACCTCGTAATGAACAGACGGACGGACAGGACGGATGCCTCTTTGGAAGGAGACAGAATCTAAACCAATCCAATCCGATGGCCTGAGGGATCCCAAGACAACAATAGCGGTTTGATACTTGGTTTGTACAGAATAGGATATAAGGTTCGAGAAATGGAAGCACTGCTCACTTGAGCTATTGCGGAACTACAGTCAGTACCTATGTATGGTGCCTTGTAGGCTGTGAGACGCAGTCATCTTTGATGCGAATGAGGTGAAGTTGATTCCAAGCCAATGGTTCGAGTATTAGATTGTGCAACCGCAAGTAAAGTCATGTGAAGTAATGTATAAACTGTGTCTATTTTGAATTACCTACACTCGAAATTCAGTTTGTTCATCTCATCCCTAGACTGTATTTTTGTTTATGCTTACAATCCATCTTGGTAGTGGCTCAGTCGAATGCGAGCTGTCCAATCATGTATCGATCCAGAGATCCATATGGATCGAAGTGGGGACCAATACACCGCAATGTATACCTAAAACGGGGTCAAACATTGGGGGAGTTCCAGGGCATATCTGAGCTTCACTCCCTGTTTACCTTAGTACCCGACCTTAATACCTACTGCTACCTCGGTCGTTAGACATTAAGCAAATAGATAGAGAAAGAATATACTCTGTAGTTGGGTTTACTTTATCTACTATTCTAGGGTCTATATGCAAAGACGACCTAGAACTCTTACATATCCATGAGTTTCTGCCCTCCACTTGAAGCTACTATCCTCTTTCAGTTACATCATGCGACTGCAATCAGCCTTGCGGGCCCTGAAAACCCGTCCACCCTAGCCCCATGGACCCTAGATCCCTACATTAGTTGTGATCCTTCTGCTTGGCTACAACTGGACATTTTACCGGTAACTGTCTGTGGACAAATAAGCGGCGTCCGTTGAATCATGGCCACACAAGACACATTCGTTGGTAGAAACAGAGATGGAGAATCGAGGCGCAGTTTTCGCTACCACCCGTTAACAGCTCTGAAATGCAGCCAAGATGATATTCCCAGATTTCGGTGTTCGAAATCTATTCTCGGTATCTCATGATCTCATCCCATCACTGGATGATGAAACTTCTTTGACCGACCCAACCTCTTGGTGACTACAGTACAGTACATAGTCCATCCTGGTTTCGGCCCCCACTCATCACTTCCATTTCCTATCGCCACTTTTTCTGTCTGTTGCTCGATTCTTGGGTTCTTTGATGAGGCAATGCTCTTTCCCCTCTCTCTAGGCGAAGTTTGGTGTTTTAATTCCCACCTATTGATCCCTTGGCGAGATCGATCAAGACTAACAGCACATATCACGGCCACAGTGGATGAGTTCTAATTCTATTTACAGGGCTGAGTGGAGCAAGCCATAGTATGGACTGTAAATTATTACTGATTATTGTTCCTGCAATGAAACCTCAAATCAGCCTTGCCGCTTTCGAGAACATGATGGACTCGGTACCGAAGCCATGGGCGTTAAAAAATGCCTCTTTGTTGTCCCTGGGCCTGGTTGTAGGATGCACTGCGCAGCCTCGCGCTTAACCCTGGCGTTAAAATTTGGAAGGATCCAATTCCTAGGTTCGTTTTACCGCTTGAGGTCCCCGAATCCCATTGTCGTAGGGGCCGTTGAGTTTTGGCTAGGCTTTAGTACTGTAAGACAAGACAGAAGATGGCTGGCGGTTTTGTTTTTCGCTCCCTTTTTATGGCGGAAGCTGAAAAGCCTAGCTGAGTTGGAGGTTGACTATGTACTGTATGTATCTATATCTCATCCCAACTTTGTGAGTCCAAACTCACCAAAGGTCCAATTCCTCATAACGCTCACCTTCAGTAGTACTGAACTTCTGTCTTTACCGTAACCAGACTACTAGACTAGCAAATTAGGTAGCAGTTTTGTGTCATGTCGCAAAGTTCCCCTCTGACTCTATGAGCTGTTCAACCCTGTGTCAGCAAAGCTCTCCTCTCAGCCGCAGCCCTCCATCAGCACTAAGCCCAATTCCAGTTCAGAAACCCAGCAAAGCGTCACTCTTGACTGCACAATGGTGGAGCGGTGGCTCACCATCCCTGGACCATGGATATTACTGTATGAGAAGAGGGCTGAGTTCACTCGGCTTGCGGGGAGGGGAGGAGGCGATGGCATAGGTCGCAGTGCGGTAGTAAATAAATAAGAAGGCTGTCCCCCTCTTAGGCAAAGGCTTCTTGACGCTTGGATGATTTGATCCTTCGATAAACAAGGAACTTGAGGTTTCGTGATACTATACTGCCTACAATTACGATACCATACAACGCACGCAGGACGAAGGCGAAATAGGCACGACGACTACAGAGCACAGCAGAACAGTAACCAGTCTAGTGACCGCGATTACTCACTTAGGACAACCACAACAAGCACCTATTACTGAATGAGAGACGAATAACCCCAAAGAAACTCCATTGAGCAACAAAGTTTCTGGAAGAGAGGAAGCGGTCAACAGCACCGTCAAGTGAAGGACCACACACACAGGAAACCAGCAAATCAGACTTCACAGCACAAAAGAAGAAAGACACATCCAAGACATGCTCCTCAACGGAAACCATCGTGCCCAGGCACAGTTCGACAGAGCGAAATGGCGTACAATGATTCTCATCCCCACCTGGGCCCTTCAATTATGCCTGTCCATGACGATGATGGGCCTCTTCGCCTATAGGCTGGGTGACAGCATGAAGGTGAACAAAGACGACAATAAGAAGAATGATGATCCTACAATTGAGATTGTGTAAGTAAACGCGAGAACAGTTGAAATTGTTTGTTACTGACCTTGATTAGATGGGAGGCTACCAATGTGGCTTTGTGGTTTGTTGCATCTCTATGCAGTTTCGTTGAAATCGCAAAATACTTCGCAGAGGCGTTGACGCCGTGGACTATGCTGTTCACACACGTTATCAAGTTAACCTGTGCTATCGCTACTCTCGCTCTTGACATCGTTGTCTACACCCAGGAGCACGACAGACACTACTCCCTTGTAGCTCTAGGACTGGACTGTGCCTTTATGTAAGATTCCACCACTACACACCGTGTAATCTTGTCACTGACATGTGCCAGCATCACCTCCATTGTCTTGGTGTTCTACTCAGTACGAAGGTACCGTCGCCTTTCCGCTTACGACGACTACACCCACCCCGTCAACGTGAAGCCTTATGGTTTCAACGATGATCTCGAGCGTGATACATCATATTCCCAGCATTCAGGCGACAAGCGTTTCTCTTCAGCCTCATCACGAGCGAGCATTATATCCAAGCGTGAATCAGTCGAAATGGGCACTGTCCAGCGAACACCCAGCGTTTACTCCCACAAACGCGACACCCAATTCGATGACTATGTAGCACGCCGAGGGTCTGTAACAAAAGAGCGTATCGGAAGCGGAGACTTTAGTTACGCTGGAGCTCAGGGAGAACTTCAAGAGCCTGGATCACTTACACCTATTACACCCACTGGAGCGACACTTTCTCCCAATCGACCACGAGGATACAGTAGCAGCCGAGCAGCTAGCTGGACCAGCGACCGAGGATTGGTAGCTGTTCCAGAAGAGGAGGACGATACAGTAGCCGGAAAGGAGTCCAAGGCAGAAAAGGAGAAGAAGGACCGTGAAGCCCTTCTGGGCAACACCCCTCGTGAGAGTGTTGATGGCCCACTCGTTGCCCAGGAAGTCGACCTGTCAGAACCCAGGTGGCAGCGTGAATAAAGGAAATCATACCAAAGAAACAAACGAATAGAAAAGTCTATAGGGATTGATGAGAGAACAAAACTACCCATCTGGAGCAGTTTGCATCTCTGTACGACTGATTGTATATACCCAGGGGAGAAACGGCGTTTTTGAGGAGGTCTGAACAGCATTACGGGCTGAATGTTGAAATATACTTTTGATTATAGCGACTGAATAACGACGAATTTCAAGAGCTGAGCTGCCCTACTGCAAATAGTGTGTGATCTGCGATCATGATAATATTAGGCTCTTGACGGACTATCTGCTAAGATGTATGGTATTCTCTCTTACGAGACATATGACTGATCCAAACCATTTTCCTTATGGTAACCCTCGAATACCAACCACGAACAGTACAAAGTTATATCTCTATGACAGTCTTGAAATTCCATACCACCCTCGCTGTTGATGCCGTTGAGACCAGTCATGAAACCAAACAACGACCTATAAAGAATGCCAAAAGAATATCACTATGTTTAAGGCAGTGAAGTGTATGGCCCTCTATGAGTAGGTGTGATGGTTTCTTTTATTGTGTCTATAAGACACTATGGTATCCTGGGTGTGCCATACTGTTTAAAACAACGTTAGATTAGGCTCAGTTACTCTGATCAATAGCAATTAGAGAGGCGTAGGTAGGCTTCTGAACCCCCCTCGTAAACTCTGAACCAGGTATTGGGTTCATATAATGTTGGTTATTGATGACTTTCTAGAGGAAAGTCAAGCTTCAAGTTCAGTATTGGCGGACAGGCGACTCATGGATGTACGTTCACAGGCTACTATACCCATTATACTTTGGCAGGTAGGTACTGTCGCAGATGCACTAAGAAGCCAGATGCTTAGATAGTGAATGGCCCAAACGATACACAATGCCATCTTGCAAGAAAGCCTCTCTCTTGATTATACTCAAGTCTCTAAGCTGCAGTGTATATCGTGTGTTGGCGTTAGTGACATATACGGATAGCCCTAGGACTGTTTGCACCTATCACTCTAAGAACGAAGTCTTTCATCCCGAGAACACACCGAACTAACTAGGTACATATCAAAATGGAAGGACAGTTACTTATAGTACCTCGAAATTCTAGATATAAGTTGTTTGTGAAGGACGGGCTTCATAACTATTGTTTACCTATGTTAAGACTTCTGTTTATATGACTGAATTTGAGAGGTTATACGTGTGTCTTAGACCGATCCTTACGGGTAGCGATATTCATGGCGTAGATATTTCACGATGATACACTCGTTTGGTTAGTGATGCTGTTGAGTTGAGTTGAGTTTCATACAATATGAATTAGAACGCATGTACAGGTAGGTGGGGGTGATTACCGTAGTATCCTGGGTGCGGGGTCGGCAGATGTAGATGTGCCTTGCATTAGTGGAGGGTAGGAGCAGGAGCTACCCCACTTCCCGAACCTTAGAAAGCAACTTCCATTCTTGATTCTTGAGTTATGTCTTCCATTTCTTGATACCTATAGTACCTTCCTAACCAACGACCTTCATTGGCTTGAATTACTACCTAGATGTTCTCATAATTCCAATCTGGAGCTCCAAGAAATGGTGGAGCTCTCCTTCTCTAACGCTTAAGAGATTTCTCTTTAACCCAGAAACCGAATATGAATGCCATCAAAAAGTAGACAGAAGACGAAGCCATGGTCCAGATCGTGGCAACTTGGTACGCCCATTTTACTTGCTCGGCAATGTTGGGCGGCAAGTGTTTGATGTACTCAAGACTCTGTCGAACCCTCTCCTCGATTTCGCGAGCTTCGTCTTGGTCAGGAAGCCTTGCCGCCAGCTCTGTTCGAAGCACTTGCTGCAGGACGGCAGATCCAGTGCTGACACCGATGCTAGACCCAAGAGCTCGGAAGAGATAGGCAGATGCTACGACGACAGCGGTGTCGTCCACCGTAGCATTGGCGAGGAGACCAATCAGTGTCGTCGAGTAGCCTAGAATAAGTTGGTCAGTTGACCGAATGTCTATGAGTGGGCGAGTTCTTACTAGCACCAGTCCCAACAGCCATGACAACAAGGGCTATGGAAGTCCAGAGTGTTGACCGATACCAGACAAATAAACAAATCGGAACAATGGAAACGAATGCCAGAGCATATCCTAACAAGTTGAGGGTGTAGAACTTTTCAGTTCGTTTGATAATCGAACCACTCAAGATGGAACTCACGACCATAAAAAGCATCACAGGGACAAGCAGCGCACCACTTTGAGCGGCGTCCAGACCCTGAACAGCCTGGAAGAAAAGAGGAAGGAAGAATATCACCGAGGTGTTTCCAGCGTTGGAAGCGAAGTTCACAAGATAGCAAGCGAACAGGCTGCGATCGAAAATGATATGCCCGGGAGCAAGCGGATGCGAAGCGACCTTGAGTTCGACCAGGACGAATAGTCCAAATAGAACTGGAGTCAAAGAAAGTGCAATAATGGTGATAATGTGTGACCAACCGCGATTAGAACCAGAATCTAGGCCGACGAGGAGGGCGACCACGGCCATTACGAGGGTTAAGGCGCCGAAAAAGTCGACCTTCCGAATCTTGGACAGCCAGTGGTCATGTTCGACGGGTGGAAGATCTAGGACGAAATAGACGGCCACGAAGGCAACAAAACACAACGGTACTTGGCCCAAAAACGACCTGGATACTCTGTCAACCTGGCACCATCTTGGCTGTTCAGTTACACCAAAGACCTACCATCGCCAGCCGACCGAGTCGGCCATCAATCCTCCGAGAGGAGCCCCTGTAGCGGTTCCTGCAAAGAAAAGAATGCTAAGTTTCCCCTGCCAAACACCGCGTTCCTTCAAGGGCACAAGGTCACTCAGCAGAATGGCGACCACAGAGTTCATACCTCCGCCACCGATGCCCGCTATTGCACGCGCAGTACAGAGCTGGGCCATGGACTGAGCCAGACCGCAGCCAAGACAACCGATGGCAAATACGGTGTAGGCGAAAAGAAGGCACGGCTTGCGGCCAAAGATATCACTGAGCTTGCCATAGAGAGGCTGGCCACTAGTGAGGGTTAGGAAATAGCTGATAAGACGTCAGTTGATGACTAGGTATTCGATTCGCTATTCTGGTAATCTCACGCTGTGGCAATCCAACTGGTGTTGTTGAGAGCATGAAGTTCGCTCCCGATTTTTGCGTAGCTTGCGACTGTTATAAGTTGATCTGCAGCAGCCAGATAGACCTAGTTGTTTGTAAGTACATCTTCATCTATTTACGCAGCACGGGCTTCTCCATACACCAATGCCAACAGAAGCAAGAATCAGATGCATCTTTCTGTCAGAGTACATTCGCGCTGGAGCACCATTGTCTGAAATCTGGCCATCCTCATGGTCTCTGTCGTTGCTTTCAGGGTCTCTTAGAAGAGGTGAAGCCTCAGATGGCTCGTCAGAAGCCAACGTATTCGACATACTTGCTTACTCCCGCAGGTAACGTAGGTAATAATATGAAAATTGGGCGAAGATTACTGATGTTACAGACTGGGTATTGATTGTGGGCAAGGAAATACAAAATGAAGGTGAAGAATGGTATCGAAAGATCTCAGCAGAATATAATCGAATGCATTTACCAGATACCTGGGCTATTTTCTTACGTCCTGTATCTGATTGTCAGAGTGAGATTTGAGCACATCAGATAGACGGATCGACCGGAAGGTGTCATATCGAAAGACAGATTAGCCGATCAATGATAGGATTGAGGCTATCTAGACGGCAGAAAGGGGGAAAGCATGGGCTCACCAGTCATCTTCTTGACTGTTGCCCGATGTTGGATTGAGGGGACACTTAATTAGGACTGGTCTTGGGATGATGCTATCATGTACATTATCCGTGCAGTAAGATAGAACAAATTCAGTTCTAACCTTTAGGCCTGTTCAGTGCTTCTGTCAGACTGTCAGACAGACCTTTTCCATTTTATATGGGTAGTGGATCGAGCCAATACTCGCTGTATTCACATATCAAGAGGCGTACAACGATACGCAGGACGAAAGACGGTCGTTCAGCGATAATAGGAATCCCCTGCTGTGACAATGATCAACTGAACCACGCATATGAGAAACGTATCTCAACGTTTTCGTTGTAAAACATGGAACATCTCAGGCTAATGTTTGTCACCGCATAAGACTCAAAATTTGGGTACAGTAAGACAACGAACGCATTGGCTATTACCTTGTTGTTTGCATCCAACACTATCCAAGTATCTTAGTGGTTGGTGATGCAACAGTTTTTTTGCTGCGCATGATGTTGATGATGCGCGGATATTAAAACGCAAATCATAACCAAAAGAGAAATAAGTGCGAAGCTTGAAAGTAATGCTGTCTTGATTTGTTGGTCATGGAATTAATTTGAAACATGGAACATTCGGTCTCTGCCAAGATAAGGGACTACTGAACCTGGTACGTTGAGCAGATCAGAGACTAATCCGGGTCAGAATCCCAATTTTCTGCTGAACAATTCCACACGTAGAGACAAACCCGCGTCATAGTATCAAAGCGAATGCTGACATTTTGTGTCTTTCTGGATGCACCCAGATATTGCAGTCAGTATCCGTAGTGGTGGGGTGATAATCTGCACTTCTGCAGCATGTAATTAGCTGTGGAGATGCTTGGATCGATCATCCCCGTGCTTGCATGTGCAGGGAAGAGCCGTGACGTGTTGAGTTGATGGACGATCAACAAACAAGGGTTGCGTATAAGTCCGATGGCATTAATTGCTGTGCCTCGGCGTGTTCGGCTTCATCAACTAGACGTGGCGCAGTGATCGAGTCTTTGATGTCTACCAGTAAAGAATGAATGTTAAATTTATACTCATGTAGGAAAAAAGAAAAGATAGGATGACCTCTATTTGGCTTCCGATCTAGGTCGACACAACTACTCAGTGAACTTGGACTCTACTGTGCGACTGGGGCACATGGTGAGACGGGACGAAAAGAGAACTGAACTTATGCATATTACGAGTCGACCACGAGGAACAGCTGCAGTTATCCGATCCTCTTGAACGTATTAGTGTCACGGTTTGAGCTGCAATACACAGCACAAGAACAACACCTACCGATTCAGGAACAATAAACCAATAATTAGCCTCTAATATAACAAAGATATTCTGTAGTCGATAGCATTGAATACTTGGTGAATCATTATACTGACTTTTCATCCGAATTAAATGCCGTTTACTTGTTCCTTTTCTTACCTAGTGACCTCCACTCCTAGGTTAGTAGGTAGGTACCTTTAATTGATGCAGGGGTGTGTGGGAAAGTGACGTGGATTCAGCTGCAGTGAATCAAGTCCCCCCGCTCAAAACTTGATGGAGATCCAATCTACTGGTCGTTTCAGCCTAGTCCTAGCCCCAGTAAAAAGTCCCCTGCTTGCGGACGAAATGCACCAGAACCTCGAAGCCACAGTCAGAAATGCTTGCTGTTCGCCCCTCAGGTCCCGTCCTCAAACGGTCGATTTTGAAGCAGCCAAAGAGCCTGCACAAGCCACGCCCAAGCCTCCATCCGCCATTCCCGCGGTATGAAAAGTACTGTATGCATGTATGTATGTATGTACTTGCTTGATTTGATTTGACTTTACATCCATCATCGTAACGGAACGCGCAAGCTTAACGGTCTGGTCCCAAACTTTGAATCAACCTGGCTGGCAGTTTCCTGTTGAAACCTTACCTTAATAGCACCTACCTATCGTAAGCTAAGTAGAAGGGCCAAGTAAACGGGGCAGGGAAGGAAACATCCATCCATTGAGACCTAGAGAAAGAAGGATACCAAGACCTGACCTGCCTGACACCAAGAGATGGATCGACTCGAGGCCTCCTTCCCTTGGTTAATTCTGTTTCGCCTTCCATCTTCAATCATTTCTTATTCCTTCCTTGTTTACCTTATTCCTCATTAGAATCCTTCCTTCCATCTTTTCCATCCACTTCTTCTGGTTTTTGTTTGTTTCTCTTCCTTCTCCATCTCTCCTACACTACACATTGACTGTATCTCACTTCATTAATCGAGTGGAAGCCCGTCCCACTTGATTCGACATTAATCTGTTGCCGCCTCAAAGATCCATTCATTCATTCTCTGTTTCACCCGTCTCTCGTCTCTCCCTTCCCCACTTGATTTCTACCTGGATGCTCCCTCGAGGGGCGCTTTCGCATCCATATTATCTGAAGGATTCCAGGGCACGGCATTTCATGCGTTTTACCAGCCTTTCGCATTGCTCTGCTGTCGCGTCCCCTGGTTGCACCTGTTTTAACTTGCTTCAAGTTTACGGCACTGTCCCTCTCCGTCGTCCCAGGTTGACACGACAGATTTCGTCTCATCATGGCTACCATGTTGAACAACTCTCTGCAACCGCCTAAAACGGGCACATCTCGCTGGTCTAAGGCACTTCCGGATGTCCCAGATCCTGACGCCCCAAGCTTTTACGACGATTATTACGACAACGCTTCCCCTCGTCTACCACCAGCAAAAGAGCTTCCTCCACCACCGCCGCGCTCGACTAGCATAAGCAACGCGAAGGCATTACCACCATCACTGCCACCGTTACACCTGCTTTCAGCCAATTCTCCTCCATCTGCTCCGCCGAAAATGGCAATTCCACGTCGGCCCATAGGGAAGCTCTCTGCGAATCCACCACCGCCACCTCTAAAGAGCCCACAGCAGCCATCTCCATCACAGGCACCCCCTTCACCTTCGGACTCGCTGTCGAGCATTTTGTCGGCTTATTCACGCTCTTCAGGCGAATCACTTGTCAGGTCACCATACGAAGCTAACAGCAGTGCTTTGCAAAGTGAGGCAAACACTTCACCGAGCCATCAAGTTCCACCCGCCAACACCAAGACTGGCACGTTGGAGAGTGCCCCCACCCAGCAACAGCAACAATATGATGCACCGAAGTTGCCTGCCAAGAATCCTCGACCACCACCACTTCCTTCTAAAGACACCAAGTATCATCTTCCGGCGACTCCTGCTCCAGTTCGGAAGCCAGTCCCAGAGAAAAAGTTGCCTGAACTGAACTCCTCTTCGCCTCAGTCCCAGTCTCAACAGCAACAGCAACCTCAGCTTTGGCGACGTCGATCCTCCAAGGCCGAGCGTAACCTTGAACTTGCCGACCTGAAGCTTGTGTCCAGCCACGGATCAACTGCTGCGACGCAGTCTACTGCCGCACCACTACAGCAGGCCCAACAAGAGGCCCGCTCAGACGGACTCAAGATCTCCACAACATCGAACTGGCAGTCTGGGAGCACGAGCTCAGCAGCTCCTGCTGGCCAGGACGTCCAACAGACGCCAGCTCCTGAGCAGGTGCCCGACACTCCGACGATGGGTGGTAGTAGTTCCAAACTCAACCGTCTTAAAGACAAGCTGCATTTCCACCGAAGAGGGAAATCGTCGAGCGACACTACTAAATCTCCACCAGCACAACGGCCTGGAACACATCGGCCTCCTACTCCTGAATATCAGAAAGAGGATATCAAGACACCCATTGTTGACTCGATTGTTTCGCCTTTATCACCAGCCTCATCTCCAGAACCTGCTGCGCAGGTATCGCCTGAGCTTCCCGACGACATTCCCCAAATATCACCGCCGCAGCAAAACCAGGAGCCTCTGAGATATACAGGGAGCATTACACGAAAAGCTATTCCGACCCCGAAGCTCCCAAGCCCTATTGAGGACAAGCCTTCTTCTGTATCACCAAGCTTGAAGAACTTATCTCCGCCGGCAGGCTCACTACCCCCTTCGCTGACCAACTCAAGAGGCAGTGGGGGATCTTCCGGCAGTGATACTGCAGTCCACCAGGTTCAACCTCCCGCGGAAGTACCTTCGAGATTCCCACCACGAGATTCGTCGACCAGATCGAACGTCCCCCCTCGACAGTTGGCAGCTGAGCATGACCCAAGGCTGGTATCATCGGATTCTCAAGGACCTCTTTATAGGGGTAGAGATGGTACCCTTTACCCTGAGATGAAGGTCATGCAAGAGTATGACCCGCAAGTGGCATATTTCCCCAGACAATCCGAGTCCCCGCTCGCGGAGGGAACTGTTTTCAAAGCGCCACCTCTTAAGAAGTCACACTTTTCCTGTTACCACGGACACAAGACGATGAATCGTCGTACCAACAGATATTATCCGTTGACATGTCAGACTTGCGACAAATCAGATGTCGAAGATCGCTGGACTTGCAGCTTTTGCCATCTGAGAATATGCGAACACTGCGTCAGGAAACTCAACAACAGCGGCAACGACCTTCGTCGTATGGTTGAGAGTCTGCAGGTCACGACATAAATTGATGCCCACCAACACTACCGCCATTATCCAATTTGTTTTATAAGATTCATCAATTATCTACGATTTTTATTACTTTGTTACCTGCACTCATCGTTATGGTCTCTTTTCCTTTGTTACGCATAGACACTTGTCGCAGGATTAGTTTGATTGACGCGTTCCATGTATTATATGCGAAGGTTATTACGGAAGGAAAAGGTAGGGAGGGAAACATAGATCGCACATGAGGATGTTATTTGTCGCAGATCAAATGATACCACGCTTGCTAGCAGCAGCACACCTGGGACAGGAAAAGAAGAAATGAGGAGGACATATTGTCCAATTTTGATGTTCTGATCTCACGATATCGAAGGGGGAAATGGGTTCATGTTTGTTGCCTTGATATGGCAATCTGAGGGATACGGATGATATCGCGATACCCTAGATGGGGCTGGGACTACATCACGTACCGAACAGTGATTATAATGATTATTGATCCAAGATCCTTGTCGAACCCTATGAAGAGAGTATCAATGCTTGCACTGACGTCTGGTGATCAGTGACCAAGGGAAACTTCTACAAATGAATCATACTAGATGTCATGAGGGCGATTTGCACCTTGCTAGACCTTGACATTGTCTCAAACTCAATCGATGTGCTGTGATTCTAGGCAGTCAAACAATTAGACTGCATTCCTAAGATAGCTCCATGACTTCAATATTCGTCTCAGAGCTCCCTTCACTTCAGGTTTGTAAGTTTGCGTCTCAGCTCAGCTAGTCCAGGTTCCAGCTTTCCCCAACCCCGAGTCCGCGTTACAGGATCGAGGATCCGCCACCTGCAGGCTCGACTCCACTCGTACCTTACTTACCGTCCTTAGCCTTGACCGTGCGCGCCGTGCTCCGGCTAACGGAACCTGCCGTAGGTAGTACTGTAAGCTTAGGTGCTGGTACCCGTAGCCCAAGCGACCCTTATCTCCTCCATCACAATAAACATTCACTAAAACATCCCATTCCATTTCCATCTCGAGACAGAGCTGTGAGGGGGGTCAAAATGTCAACAACACAGCGCTCGCGATCAATTCGTAAACCTGCCTCTTCCTCTTCCTCATCTACTACTACCATGACAACAAAGGCAGCAAATACTGCCCCTGTTTCTACAAATTCCACAGATGCAGGCTCACCGAGTCGGCTTCCTATAAAGCCTCTGGCCAGAAGCGCAACAACGTCAAGCACTACAACAAGAACATTAAGGAATGGCGCATCAGGCCTTTCGAGGACGACTTCTGTCAAACAACCTACTAAGCCGGCACCGTCAGAACCTACGAAGAGAGAAACTAGGTATCCTCCTTCAACGACAACTACGAGAACTCGACCAGCGGTGAGGCCGACCTCGGCAGATGGCCCAACTCAAGCTACCAGGAAGGCTCCAGCCCCGTCGCATACGCGTGCTAAGAGTACCGCGACCGGATTGAAGAATGCACCGGTATTGAGACCGTCTTCATCGACCTCGTCGGCCAGCAGTACTACCACCACCTCGACCACCACCACTACTAAGCCGACTCGCACCCTACGCTCCTCGACAACATCTGCCGTAGACAAGTCTTCTGGTGCTGCACCTCGTCTCCGACCAGCCTTTTCCACTCTTCAGCAGCACTACTCGCCTGCCAAGTCTTCTGCGCCGAAGCCCCTGACCTCGACGTTCCTTGCACCACCCTCGCCGTCAAAGCTTCCTGCCAATGTCGCTGCATCTGCTGAAACAAGCAAGTTGCAAACCGAACTACTACAACTGCACCTCTTGCACCGAGATGCACCCACCGTCGATAGTGCATGGAGGGCTAGCGCCGAGCGCAAGCTGGGAGACCAATTCTCGAGCCTTGCTGCTGCGAGCAAACAAGTTGACGACCAGGAGAGGGCCGAGGTTGAGAAGGAGAACGTCCTAGCACTTCGCCAATGGGCTGTTGGAGGACGTCTTGAAGAGCGCATCCAGGTATTAGATTCAGTCATGAGCGGTCTCTGGGCGCTGGAGGATCCTGGTGGCCGCTATGCCAGGGTTGTAAGGCGCTTTGAGCGGTGGGTCGAACGCATGTGTGAGATTGAAGAGGCACGTTGCGAGGGTGGTGCGCTGCTGCAGGAAAGTGATGTGCTATTCATCGGTGAACTCGATTGTGCGTGGAAGGATGAATGTACCGGCTTGGTCCGACGGCTAGACACACTGAAGCGACAAATCAGTCAATTGGGAGACTTTCCAAATGAAAATGAAGGGGCGAATGATGACAAGGAGCAGTCGAGTCTGCAACGCATGGTGGAGGGGTCCCGAGAACTTGTCGATGGGATGCTGACGGAATTAAATGTTATGGAGGATATTGAGCGCGATGCCCTTGCGCGTGAAGGCGAATGGATTGAGAGGATGAATCGAGATGACGACGCGGACGATACCCCAAGAGCTGGAGCAGTTTGGAGAGTTGTGTAAGGCGGAGGAGATTGTTGAGTAATGTTTTGTGCGCAGTTCCTGAATATCAACTAGACCAACGTGGCATATGACATAGACATTCACGACATCACAGCGGGCGGTTCACTTTCTTCATGTAACGAATAGATTGGCTTTTTCTTCTCTCTCATTTTCAGGACAGAGCTGTTGTACCCGAGTCAATTGGTCATCCTATGAGGAAGCCACGACAAGTAGAGCATACTCCTCTATCTATCCCTTGTTGTTCGCATAAATCGACCGTATCAGGTCAGAACGTACATTTCGCATTCAGACGTCAAATCTTTAAACCTTGGATTCTAGCTCGCAAGAAAATGTTGCTGATGTTTATTTGTTTTTGTTGTATTGGTGTTGTGATTTGTATGTTGTAACATTTGGAATCTTCTCGACCTCGTAACGAACGCCGTCTAAATGGTTTCCACGCAAACGTCAGGTGTTCTTGTGAAGAAATAGCAAAGTCATAAATGGTAGGAAACAGTTACCGAGCAGTACCCAGCCACCAGATACCATGGTCGTCTATATCCATCCTTGATTTGGAGAGTCATGTGTTTATGGCCAGACTGGTTCTCCAGTCTCGAAGATGTTGGGGAGCGATGGAAAGGGTAGCTTGTCGTCCAGCTACCCCGCGATGTTCGTATGACGCCAGACCCCACCTGGTGCAACAGTGTTTGACGTGGTTTTTGCATGGCATATCAGGCTACGGCGCAAAAGCTGGGTAGAGATGCTTGGTATTATTGCTAGCTTGGGTAGTGGTATCATAGGAAGGCCCTTCGAGGGAAGCTGACGCCCTCGACAGCGGGCTCGTCGACAAACCAGCTGCAGCGCTCGCCCGTGCCCTCGTTGACAAGGGTACAGGGCAGGCCACCGTCGGTATCGAAGATCTGCTTCATGATATCCTTCTTGCCGCCACCAGTGGCGACAAATGCGACGCGGACGGAGTGGTTGACCACGGGAAGAGTGAGCGTGATGCGCTTCGGGGGAGGCTTAGGGGAATCCTCGATAGGAGCGACCCAAGCGTTGGCCTCGCGGAGCAGCTCATGGCCGGGGAAGAGAGAGCAGGTATGTCCGTCAGGTCCACATCCTAGGAGGAGAAGGTCGAAGATGGGCAGGCGGACAGAATCGCGGCTGGCGAAGCTAGCAACAAGGGTCTGCTCATACTGGTCGGCAAGTTCCTGGATGTCGTTCAGGTACTCGGTGTTGATGGGGTGGACGGTAGGCTTCTGGTCCTCGGGGATCTTGTCCAAAAGTTCCTTCTTCAGAAGAGCATAGTTGGAGTCTTCGTGGTCGAGGGGCACGGCACGCTCGTCGGCGAAGAAAATTTCCCAGCGAGCGAAATCGACGACATCGTTGGGACCGGAAGAGGGGGCCAGAAGAGCCTGAGCGAGTGTCTTGGGCAGCGAACCACCAGAGACAGCGACCTTGAAAGCGCCGTGTCGAGCGATACCGGCAGCCTGGCTTTGAATAACATACGACCGCAATGCCGGGGCAAGAGCGTTAACGTCGCGGAAAGCGAAGAGATTTGGCTGTGTTTTACCCATTGTGACGTTGTGGTGTGGGTTTTTTGAAGCTTGTGGTGAGTTATGACGATGGAAGAGGAAAAAATGACAAGACGAGAAAAAGACCAGCGACGGAGGAAGGCTGATGAGTCTTTTTCGTGCAGCTCTAGGCGATCCTTGACCTAGGCGGGAGAAGAGATAAGTGCGGTCAAGGGTATAGAATTGGTAATGAAAGCAGAGATATGTCAGGATCCAGTTTGACTGCTGTGGAATAATTTGATAAGTCGTGTAGACTGAACTGGCAAGAAGCTTAGGTAGAGGGGGCGGGGTTTCATGGAAGTCCCGACCCGACGGGTTTTCTGGTTTCTGGCAAGTACAGGCTGCTACTTCGTCATAGCAGTGGATTAAATTCGGTAATTGTCGACCCAGGCTTCGAAGATGGGGAAGCACCTACCCCCGAGTAGGACCAGCAACTGTGGGCGGGAGGAAGGTACGGGGCGGGGACCTGACCTGGGACGAACAGACGGATGGAATGGAAGGAACCACGATAACTTCTCCCAGGTACTACCTCAAAATGACAATGATGAGGTAGGTACTGTACGGCAATAGCCTAAACCTGTCTCAGATACTTACCTACCTATAGAAAAAGAGCCCCGGGGAGTGACGTGCTAGACAGCGCAGTAGTCTGCCGTTTTGGCTTTTGAGTTCTGGCCTGTCTGGATCATGTTTGGCTGATTCTCTGTGACCATGTTTCTAGATAATGCAAGCCAGAACCTGGACGGACCACTGCATCTGTTTAGCCGCGTACTATTGATGAAAGCTTATCGGAGTGCCGTTTATTCCAGGTGAGTTACCGGTTGACAGGTTAGAGGTTGCCCGTTGGGTACCTACCTTTGCTGTAGAGTGCATACAGTAAGTAGCACGTGGCGATGGTTCAAGCATAATATTGTAATGGAAGTCAAGCTTTGGTGAGAAATTAGACAGACGTTGTGATTACGGTCGTTTTAGCAAGCGATTTAATAAACATCCATACCAAATCGAGCTACAGAGTATAGCGGGCTGACATGTGGTTTTACAGCCGGTAGTTGCTGACGTGCTATTGAGCCCTACTTGACCCTGGTTCAAGAGGCAGGCCAGTGTATGTAACATCATCATCACATAGTGGTGACACAACCCGGCATCTATAAACTGCAGTGATCGAAGTAGAGACACGCCGACTGCAATGTGAGACTTTTATTGCTCGTGTATCTTATGTCCTTCAATGAGTGACATTTGTTGGATGGACCTGATGCCTAGCTGCTTGTACAAGCACTTGCTGTTTGCTGTATGCTTGTATAAGCATTTGCTGTTTGCTAGCTAAGGAAGGTTACCTATAGAGAACCTTCTAGCTAGGTGGTAGAGCTATAAGAGCTCTGCCTTTCTGTATCTTAGATAGAAGAATAAGTTGCTTCTTACATATCTTCTTTTCTTGTACATTCAAACAAATGTTTGGGTGTTCAAAGGTCCTGATTCTATACAGTAGGTATCTTGGCCAAAAAGAACAAGGGCCAATAAGAGTCCTTGGAGGTCTGCCGTCCTTGAAGGTCTGTCATACGGGATCCAGTACAATCACAGAAAACAGTTGGGCGATGACTGGGAAACATGCATTTATACGCGATAGTTAATCTCGAGTGCCTTTCTCTTGTTTATCAGGACTGAAAACTCATGACATGAAAACTGTAACTGTTTAAATGACAAGCATGTGCTTGCCTTGCCTTGCCTTGCCTTGCCTTGTCTTGTCTTGACTTGTCCTGTCCGGCTTGGCAAATGGCTTTGAGCTACATGCAAGTTTATGACGTAGCTGCACCGTTAGTTACTAGGCGGGTTTAAGCGCGCCGCTAGCGGTTCCGTTGAAGCATCCATCCATGAGCGCTTGTCTCACCAAAGCAGTCAGTGCAAGGCTAGAGAATAGTGCAGTCAGGACTTGTTAGTATGAAGGTGGACGTTGGGGGACACGAGGAAATAGTTTGTAACAGAGTCCGGTTTCTTTCCCCTCGGTATAATTACATGCTGAATACAGCATTATCGCTCAAACCAACTGTCCCCAGATGTTGGATTGATGTAAGTCACTAGCAATCACCTCAGCCCTGTCTACAGATTTCTCAGGGCAGCAGCTAGGGCCCGGCTGAACCCTTGTCCCTGTCTCTGCTGTCTGCCCCTCCAACCTTCAACCCCTCTATTGATGTTTCCAACCCCTCCCTCCTTCATGGGCTGGACAGACCGATCATGGGTACCCAAAGTATTGGATGAGTCTAGAAGCCTCCAAAGTTTTTGATAGCTTCCTCTCTTTTCCCCTGGGCAGGGGATCCATTCGTCTAGCATATCTATCTTGTCACCTGATGGAAAATTGCAGCATATGTACCTAAGATAGTAGTAGGTAGCTGTTCCTTTCGGGACTCCTAAAGAGGGGTAATAAATGCATTCTTAATCTTCGTTGTGTAAGAGACGGTGAGTGCTCGTCTGTAGCCATCGAATTCTTCATGCATGCAGGGCATCTAGCAAGCTGCGATTGAACCAACAGTGAACTCGATTGCATGCGAAAGCGACGTCGACTCTGAGACAACGACTTTGCCAAGTCGGTATCCGGGTTTTAACAAATGACATCGAGATTGGGGTGTGAAACTGTTTTTGCCATGCAAGTTGTCGCTGTGAGCTACCTACCTAGCCTGAGAGGTGCCGTAGACTACCTGGAGAGTGCGGGCTTCTACGATACTCTCCGGCTTTCTTAATGGATGCCGCGATTGGTTGTTTCCTCTGGACCATCACTAGGTAATAGATACCAGGCCGGCAATGTTAATGAATGGGACATGATAACTTGCCAAATACTACTGCGGTCAGATTAGTGAAGCTCACAACAATAATTCATACTGATGATGGGATGATACCTAGCAACAATGACGATAACCACAAGGACCCCTATAATGCAGCTTCCCTGCGAATATGTCTACCAGACTCGGTCTCTCTTGCCTTTTTGTTAACAAGTCACCGTAATATATTCTATTCTTGTCTTACAGATTCGGCAGCTACATTTAGTACACCGAATGAGATGGTGTGGCGGACCTTTTTACTGTGGGACATTCAATTTTTTTCCCTTTCTTTTCCCATTTTTTGAAAATCCGACTGTAAGATGGATGGATGGACCCTGACGATCAAATCATCAATCAATTCAATTCCGACTTGGCTTTGGCATCCAATCCCCGGAACCTTCTCTCCGCCATCCTTCCAGCTAGCCAACAGCATCAGCCAACACGATATTTGGTCGACGGTTGACCTCGCCAAGCCTGTTTTCATTACGATTGTTTCTCTGTCCAGGACCAATTACGTCGCGAAATACCCTGCCTTTTCTTCGGCAGTAATATCAAGATTCAGGGTCTTTACGGGAATCCCTGGCAGCCAGGGAAAAGCCCCCCCCTTTCGTTGCACAGCAGAACTAACATCAGACCTCTGTCTTGGAAGAACAGCCGTATCCCCGAACTCTTGTTCTACTTTTCAATCTCTGGTCTGTCGTCATTTCTAGGGGTATCTACTACCTGTCTTCGTCTTACTCGAATGCAACTATTTCCACTGCCGATTTGTGCCGGCTCCAAATTTTGATTTCTAGGGTCCGCAGCCAGGTCTTGGCCTAAATCCATTAGTTCAACTTTTCCTTCATCTCTCTACCTTTACCTCTACCTACACCACCTCGGCTTACTATTATACACACAATCTCGATATGGACCCGACAGCTCGGAATGAACAGCTGTTGGATCGGCGATCACAGCTCACCGAGGGGCTTTCCAGTTTACCTTACGATTTGATACTCTATCTTGACAGGGCTGCTGTACACTCAGATCTAGGGTATCCAGACCTTGCAGCCGGCGATGCATATCGCGCACTCACTCTTGCAGATGAGGTTCTCAACGAAGGTTTTGAATACCATGAGCAGGCTTTCGAGTCACTGCAGATGCATACGGCAGTCCCACTTCCAGACGTTCTAGCCCACGGAAACTTGCCTCAGGACAACATCCAGGCCAACGACCTCGGATCCGAGATAGAAGACGAAGCGGTTAAGCGTTTAGCCATTCTGGCTCAAGTTCGTGCATATCAAATCCTCTCGCTCGGTCTCTTGCTTTGTGGCTCCCTACAAAGTGCCGCTAGCTTCTGCCAACGTGGTCTTCAACTATCACCGTCGAACCAAGAATTGCTCGACACGAAGAGCAACATTGTCACTGTCGCTCGGAGAAGACTCCGCCGTGATGACATTGACATCGATTATCCCAACCTCCCCGATCAAGGTCTGGTGCGCCGCGAGGTCTATCCTTGGAATGACCATGAGCCTGATCGCTTTGCTCCAGAATCGCTGGCTGAGCTCAACGAGCACCTGAGTGACATGGCCCCCAAGTGTGCTGTCGAAGTCGCTACCCTGCCTGTGCTCTTGGAAGGGGCCAGCAGTACTGACGACTACGAAATAATTCCGACATGCAAACAACTCGGCGTTTTCGCCAAGGAGGACATAGCCCCCGGTGAGGTTGTACTCAGAGAATATTCACTCCTTACCGCCAATAACCGACTGAAGGACTCTTCTTGCGACGCCTGCAGTTCTGACCTGCCGCCTCTGGGCAGCGAGAATGAGCCTGTCAGCTGCCCTGAATGTTACGATACGGTCTTTTGTACACAGTACTGCTTTGACCAGGCCATGGAACGATATCACCCTGCGGTTTGCGAAAAGGATGTCGACGCGATTGCCAAGGACCCCGACGCATTCGAGGCGGATCAGACACTTTACCTTTTGCTTCTCTCCAGGGTACTTGCGATTGCAGCCCACGAGGAGGTCAACCCCTTAGATGTCCGAGAGGTCAAGTACATCTGGGGTGACTTTGTCCCAACTCGAACCAACGACATCAACGTCTCGCCAAATGCTGGTCCACCGCCTGAGTGGACACTTCCCTTTTCTTTCAAATACAATATTGAGACACCGCTCCACGTTCTTGAGAAAATGGATATCGATATCTACGAAAACTTCGGCGAGTACGATCTTTGGGTACTGAATACACTGTACGCCAAATTTCGCGGTACGGCTTCAGCTCGTAAGAACCCTAGAGATGGTCGACCTGATGTTGCTGCTGTGCATCCTTACTGGTGTCTTGCAAACCACGACTGCGACCCTAATGTCACATGGGAATGGGGCGGACGCATGGTCCTCGAAGCCAGAAAGGAGCGTGTGGTTGGTGGCCGGCCAGGAGGTATCAAGAAGGGCGAGGAAATCCTCAACCACTACTGTGACGTTAACCTTCCTGTACAACAACGAAGGGAGTGGGCAAGAGGTAGCTTGGGTGGGTGGTGCATGTGCAAGCGATGTCGCGATGAGGCTGCTGCTGCAGGCGAGGGAGAACGGGCCTAAGTGCTTTATACCAATTCTTGGCTTTATGAGAGCGTGGAGTGGGTGGTGTTGACCCTTTTACGGGATTTGATTAGACAAAATGGATGACTTTTTCCTGATCATGGAACACGGATAAGGAGGAAACGATTTGGCTTTTTTTAGTATACGAAGTCATGTATAAGCGAGACTTCAGCAAACGAAATGATTGATATGTATCTTTGACGTCTATCCCGGTTTCAGATCACCTTGATGTGCTCTTGACGAGTGCCTCCTTGCTCAATGTGTGATATTACTTAGGTATACATCCTTCGAAAGTTCAGATTCATGAACTAACGTCGAATTGATGTAGGATGATACTCAAGTTGGATCATCGCAGCTAATTGAAATAGAGCTTTTGTGGCCGTGGTGAATTGTTCCTCAACGCAATTAACGATAACTTAGTTATATTCATATATCATCATCTTACCTCGGTTGCTCAGGTAGCGGTCGAGGTCCTACGATTTGCCTGCGACCAGCCCCAATACCTATTGATCCCTTGTTCTGGCTATCTCCACCAGTATAACCGGCCCATTGTCCGACATCCCAGCGACCACCAATACCGCCGCCGATGCCCTCAACGCCTTCGTTAGAGCGCACTGCCGCAGCAGTCTCCTTCTGTGCCTCTTCCCACTCGCGTTGTCGCTGACGTTCCATTTCCATCTCGCGCTCCAGGAGTGATTTCGATGCCCAGCCACCAGCCTTGGTTTTGTTCTGGCTTTCAGTACGGCGCTGGTCCTCGGCATCTTGCTCGGCTGTGGCACCAAGCTCACGAGAGTAAGTAGTTTGGGTCGGTGCTGGTGAAGGAGCAGGGTTGCTCGACAAAAAGCGATCGGTACGTGTTGAAGACGCAGGCGAGGGCTTGGTTGCGTATGCGGCAGGGTCGGGGAGAGGACGGCTGCTCGGTGTTGTTGACTTGGCCTGGGGCAGAGCAGTTGGGTCTGGAAGAGGACGGGGTGACCTGGAAGGCAGCACGGGAGGTGTACTGGCTTGCACAGCCTCCCTGTTGAAAGGAGAACGAGTACGCAAGACCTCTCGCTCGTCCCTAGACCACGAATCAGAGCGAGTTGGGGGACTCGATATCAACTTGGGCTTCGGTTTAGGAGTAGGCCTTGGATCAGCGCTGCCTTGACGTTGAGCTCGCTCCTGGCGCTCTCGCTCATACTCAGCTTCGCGCTGTCGGGCGAGTTCCAACTCCTGCTCCAACTGCTTAACCCGGTTCTTGTAGTCGTCCTCTGAAGCGCCGTCCTGCTGCGACGCCCCTTGCTCAGCACGATATTGACTCAGGAATTGTCCTGTAAGTTTGGAGTCGTTACGAGTTTTCAGGGCCTTTCGCTCTGCAACCAATCGAGCTTCGGCCTCTTCTTCCTCCCTGCGTCTTTGGTCCTCCGTCAATTTCCATTGTCGTTCCTCTTCCTCCCAACGTCGCTTCTCCTCTTCGGCCGCTTCTCGCTCCTTTTGTCGCATCTGCTCCGTCTCTTCCTCCCATTTTAGTTCTTCTTCAACTTTGGCACGCTCCTCTTCCTCGGCTCGCTGCTTTTCTTCCTCCTCGACTTCGAGGCGGATACGCTCTTCCTCTTCCTTTCGACGGCGCTCTTTATCAGCAAGGGTCGGTACACGGGGACTGGCATTGGTGATTTGTCTCCTTCCACCAAATGATATACCCAGGTTACCTTGACTGGCGCCCCCCAGGTAGCCATATTGAGCGATATTCCAAGCTGGCGATGTAGTGCCCTCATGCTCCTTCTTACTCCAGCTACTAACGGCGCCAGGAGATTCAGGTCTGTTTCTAGGGCTTTTGGTTGGGCTCCATCTTCCCGAGCCAGAGTCACCTGTTCTGTGAGGCATCATAGCAGAGCGTCCAAACGCAGGTGATTTATTGCTAGTCACAGATGCACCACGGTCACGAGTCGAAGTAGGGGTCCTAGAGCCCGTTCCTTGTGGTGTAACAGTTTCCGGTCGGTTCTTGGGCCCAATTGAGACAGGAAAGTTCTGAGGGTTAGCAGCATGAGCCGCTCTACTGAATGCGCCGATGCACTGTAGAACTTGCGCTGGATCCTTCTGCTCGAATAAATCGACAGTTAAAAATGTATCGTGTTGTTGAAGGTTCAAAGGCGGTGATTGGCATGCGCGTAGGAATAGAGAGATGTTTTCCATTTGTACAAAAGGCATGGCGGACTTCTTGAATCGGAGGCCTGGTGGCGGTAGAGCCAGATTGGCGAGCCTGGGAATCGTATAAGTCCCGCATCCCATGATCATCAGGACCGGGGTTGACTTACTTGCACAAAGCGACTCCATCTTTGAGGCCCTCAAGAAGATCTGATGAGGGGAGATTCTCGCCTAAAATATCCTCAATCCATGAGCGGGCTTCGTTCGCTGCAGCAGGTGTGTATTTCTCTAAGCGCATCTTGCGCAAGTCTTTATCAAGTGACGACACGGACGCCATGATGATGGCGGATTTGCGGTTGTATTATCGAGAGGTAGTAATTCAATCACTTCGAGGAACACGGAATTAGGTAGGAATCTATCTCGGCTGGTACCAGTTGGCACTGAAAAGTCGTGATTTTGTCGTGAACTTGTAGACACCGCGCAGTACTGTCGCAACTGTTGCACGGCTTCAATAGACAGGGAGGGGTATCAAGTCGCAGCAAAAGAAACAAAGCCGTCTCCAACAATTTTATAGGGGATCAACTTTTAGCGGTGCAAAATGCGGACTGGGAAGTATAGGAAAAAGAAAAAAAAGTAGGATCGTCCCCGAGGATCCGAGGTGAGAGGTAGGTATTCAAGGAATTTAGTACCTTGATCGAGGTAGGCAAGATTGGGCGGCATGACACCCAACGCCCACTAAGAAATGACAAATGACGTGGACTTGATATAGGGTGGCTGGGGTTACCGGTTGCGGTGGCTGGAGCATCATGACGTGGCTGAGAATTTGTCATGGATTCAAGACTTCACCATATCATTTATCGTTTGCGCCCCTCCATCTTCTTTTGGTGACATTGACTGAAACAGCAGACGAAAACAAACAGGCGCCATGGCCATGAAACAGATTGGCCCTGTCACCAGAGCCTGGTACAAGTGGAAAGCTCTCCGCCTGCCGTGGCGCAAGCGCTTTCTCATGGGTTCGTTCTATTACCACCTTCCTCTCCAGCCCCATTACTTTCACTTACACACATGCCAGGCTTTGATCTCCAAGGCAATACATACTGGGAGTTTCGACTCACACGCGGTGCCGAGAGTAACGAGCGTTGGCGACGAATTGTTGAATACCCGCGATCAGCGCATTACTCATCTGTAAAGGTCCCTCCGCAATGGCATCAATGGCTACGACACACGAGGGAAGAACCCCCAAGTGTTGAAGAGCAACAGGGCGATATTGTGCGCCAGGCGAGAATGAAGAAACTCGCTGCTGAAGCGGATGCTCGATGGGAGGCGAAACCACGAGTTATGGAAGCGCCACAGGCTGCACCGGCACCTCTGCTGCAACCAGCCAATGCCAGCTCTGCAGGACAAGACGGCAAGGGTACCAAGGCCGATGCAGGTGCAAAGAAGGCTGAAGATGAGGTCGAACTGAAGGACGACCCTTGGGCCAAGGCCAAGGCAAGGGCACCGGGCGAGACATGGCAGCCTTCTGCTTGGACTCCGCCGGCAGCCAAGAGACGCTGAACCAGACGTTGATTGGGCTTTATTCATCTCTTCAGCGTCCTTTTGCAGTCATGAACACTACATCAATTGTAACAATATTGTATAAAAGCGAGGCGAGTACTGAGAGTAGGCACGAAGCAGATCTATTGAGACAAATCTGGGAAATCATCATTCATTACGACATTATGTCTTTATATACATACAGGTAGTCTATAAAAATGTACGATACCGAACAACCAGTGGAAACTCCGAAACATAACCGTTTTTATGACTCCTCTTCCTGCTTAAGTTTCAATGCTTCAAGTAAAAATCGAATTCTTTCCCCAGAATTGGCAAGAATCTCTTGGGCAATCACATCAGTTTCGTCGCTCTTCATTTTCCCGGTACGCCGCTTCTTTGCTTTTGTTTCCCTGGCCGCGATGCCCTTCTCGACAGCTGCTTCAAAATCTTCCGAATATTCCATTAAGTCGCAGGCCCATAACAGCTGTATAGCGTCTTCGACAACCAGAGACAACTTTGCGTTCTCTTCCAATGCCACAGTATTGGCTGGATGAATGACATAGCATTGCTCCAACATAGGCAATGTCAACGCTCCCCTGGCTTCACCCTCCTTGTCAACTTTGGAAGGGAGTTTATAGGATGATGGTAATAAAAGGTCGAACATTTCCTTGGTAATGGTAATGCGTGCTTCAGAGACGAGGACGTTTGGCCGTTGACAGGTAAAAAGAGAGAACATGGGAAGTGGTAGAAGTTTTACCGACGCACAATACTCTTCGTACAGGCGATTGAGATCGCCTGGCTTTTGTAATGACCACGTTACTGCCGAGAGTAAGCTGAAAAGTCGAAGGCGTAGGTTGACCGACTCGACGAATCCTGATGAATGAGCTCCAGCGGTTCCCTGCTTGCGCGAATCTTTGGGCTTTTGAGGGGTGGGTGGTTCAGAAATGCCCGAAGACATGGACTCATCATCGAAGTAGTCCCCAAATTTATCGTTCTCCAGGTCCAGTATTTGCTCCCGCTTTCGTTTCTTAGACTGCTTGCGCGGGCCTCTGGGCTCTTTGTCGAATACTTCCCGATAGGCTAATGACGATATTTCGCTCCCATCTGCAAACAAGGCTTTGATATATCCCCTGGCTCCATTTTGCCGACCATTCTGTTGATTCATATACATGACAATGATGGATTCGTTGCGTGAAGTACGAGGCATCTCGCTGTCCGGGCCGTTCGCCTGCTGTGCTTCCTTATCGCGTCGCTCGCGTTCCTCCCAGTCGGCTTCTAGAACTTCAAACATGAAATCCAGCCAAGCTCTCCAGTAACTCCATCTTGCTGGATATAATGTGCTGCAGTTGAAAGCCCAACCAATAGTGGACCAAAAATCCTGCCCACGACTCCAGATACTGCCATCGTTTGAAAGCTTACCCTTCAATCGTTCGTCATCACCGTTCGAATCTGCATCAGACATGTCGCTATCGTTTTCATGTGCATTTTGATCCGACCGGCGAGCCCATCGCGATTCGGAAATAAATTGGAAAGCTGTTCGGAAGTCGGCGTTGACAGGGCCAGCCAAGCAAAGAATGTTGCGCAGATAATCTAAGGCGTGGGAGGGAACATCGAGCTGCTCCTTCTTTTCGGCGCGAGTAGTGAGGAGAGGGTGAATCATAAGCGTGTTTAAGAGGGCGAGATGGGTTGGTGGAGGAACAGGAACCGGCTTCTTTTTAGGGTTGCGTTTAGATGTGCCTGATGCAGCAAGGCTGGTGAGGAGATTAATGGCGGGGATAACTATTGAAGAGTGAGATTTCCATTACACAGAAGGAACATTATACGCGCAAACATACAAAGTTGTTCTTCCAGGAGGATCTGGCAATGCGACTTCAAGTCGCGGGGCAGGTGTCGCGCATCGCGATAGGGACAAGGGTTGTCATGTACGGGGCTGCTGGCGGCCGTAGACTTGTCAAGAGTAACATCCTGGGCTGTTACAAAAGAGATCGGTGATGATAGACTGGATGAGGATGACGACGTTGCCATTTCGAGTTGGGTATATAAGACATTCGCGAGTGATAGGATACAAGAGATGGGGAAGCAGGACAAGAGGAGTTGGTGACTGGGAGAGTAAGTTTAGTAAAGTGGAAGGTCGGCACCTCCATCAATTTACGCGGTTGGGATAGCGAAGCGCGCCTAGCCGCGTGCACTATCAAACTGACCCGAGGAGTGGGAGGGGCGGTACCTGAGCTACGACATCAAGCACTAAAACAGCCTAAACTCAAAATTTATCGCACTGGGTTGATTCACTCAGTGACGCCATCGCCTGGAATTAATCACTATGCGGAAGGTACAGTAAAAGCCTCAATGTATACAATCACTCTTTTAGGGCTGGCACTGACTTTCAACTGGGCACTGAGCTTCTTCCTCAGTGACAAAAAAGGATAACTTTTATGATTTCGTCATCGTAATCGAGAAAAAGAAAGCTGACAAGACTGGGATTCGAACCCAGGCCCCTTTCGAGACTGCGAATCGTCCTAGTTCGAATCGAACCTGAACACAGCGCCTTAGACCGCTCGGCCATCTTGCCTTCGTTGCTCGTTGAAGTTATCACGTTCAGGAGAGACTATGTTCATGAAGCCAAAACTCGAAAGAGCGTTGACTTCCTACCAAAACTCAGTCATTTCGAATTAATGAACTTGTGGTTGTCATGATATGCATAGCGGAGTAATAGTGATATCTTCGAGTGCTATCATACTAATCTAAATTCTGGGAAACGTCGTCATACTAAAGGCTACAATGACACCATCCATCAGACGTCTATCTCTGGCGTCGACTTGCCGCCATGGTCCAATGCGTGCTCAGTCTCAAACTTACGATCCAGGCTCTTTGCCTTGACACATGCAAGTGACACCACGAGTGCAACACAAGCCACCAGGGTCAAAACCATCCAGACTGTTCGTAGACCCATGATGTAACCATCAACGATGGTATCTTTCATCAACTGCATACTATCAGGAGACTTCTTGATGATCTGAACCAGCGCGGATGCATCTTTGGCCCATTCATCGGCCTTGGAGGAGAAATCTGCACTCTTCTCGATTTGCTTGTGGAACTCATTTTGGAATGTGACCCCGCCAACAGCGACTCCAATGCCTTGACCGAGAGAGCGACAAAAGGCATACAGGCTGGCGGCAAATGGCAAGTCGGAGTTGGAGGCAGCGGCCTGAGCAGCAAAGGCTTGGGCCGAGTAGAGAATGCCTAAGCCCAGTCCTCCGGTAAGATAGATGAGAACCCAGCGGAAGGCTTTTGTGTCTTGATCAAGGAGCATCATCAGACCCATACCTAAGGGTACAAGAACCCATCCAGCCCAGATGAAAGGTCTATAAGTGCCTGTCTTGGCAATCAAAAGACCGACCACGACAGCAGCTGGTGCGACTGTACCGGTGAATGGCAGGATAGCGACGCCTGCAGAGATCGGCGACGAGCCCCTGATTTCATGGTATAAGGGGACATAGTAGACTAAACACCATACGATGATACCATGAATGATGGTGGCGAAGTAAGCGGAGAGGGCCGTAAGGGAGGTGAACAGACTGGGTCGGAGAAGGGGATCGCATCGAGAATATCTTCTACAGAACTTGATATGTATACCAAAGGCGATGAGGCCAATGATGCCAAAGACGAGTGGAGTAACAGTTCTGGGACTGCTCCATTCATACATGATACCACCTATGAATATCAGTTAGCACAATGCAAATCACCAGTTGATTTAGTGACAACTTACCCCAACTGAGAGGGATCAAGAAGCTTGTTAGAGATCCAACAAAGACGATAGTGCCAAACCAGTCAAACTCCTTGATTTTGGTGTTGACTGATGCATCCTCCTTTCTCTTGATACGCATGGTAATAGGAATTAGAATGTAGGCGACACCACAGAATGGTAGGTTGATCCAGAACAGCCAAGGCCATGACACTTCAACAAGAGCGCCACCAATCAAGGGGCCAAGGATGCTACCAATAGCCCAGTTGAGAGAGATGAGACCGAACCATTTCCCTCGTTCTCTGAGACTCACAAGATCTGTCGCGATGACATATGTCAGAGCAAGAATCCCACCAGAGCCAAGACCTTGAAGTGTTCGACCTCCAAGCAGAACTGCGATGTTCTTTGCGAGGGCGGCCATTATACTGCCGCCCGCGAAGATGGTCACCGAGGCAAGGAGAGTCGGCCGACGACCGAAGATGTGAGATAGAGAAGCGACAGGAGGTTGGATGACAGTTGAAGCAAGGAGAAAACTGGTGCCACACCAGAAGGCTTCAATAGCCGAGGCTCCGAGGTCTTCTGCGATAGTCTTTGATGTTTGTTAGTACAGTCTGCCAGCAGCGATGAATGATGGGTCTTACTGGTAATGCAACACAGATAATGGTCGAGTCAAGAGCAATGATGAAAGTAACCAGGCACAACGTGCCAAAGGCTCCATAAAAGCGCCATCCACGAGTTTTCGATGAAGGGCCGTCCTCAAATTCTTTCGGTTGTGTTGACGAATGTCCTAACGAAAGGGTAGAATCTCGGTGGGCATCCTGGTTCTGTAGAGGAGATGGATTTGTAGTTGTTCCAGGGACATTCAAGGAAACAATAGCTAGCGTAAGGGTCTTCTCTGAGATGGTATCATCCTGAATAGCAGTGCTTCTCTTGCTGTCATTGGCGACAACTAGAGTTGGGGTACTTTCCATCGCTCGGGAGGTCATGATGAAGGACAAAATATTGATCGCCCGAGTGTTGTATTCGACACTAGAGAAAGGCAACAGGAGACGATACTGTCTCCTTCTATTTAAATCAATTGACCCAGGCAGGGAATATTCTTGGTGTAAGAACACCCAACACCCGGGGACTGACTGTTCACCGCTGACTCCCTCGGGCTCACCACCCTCGTCAGCCAGCCGCAGTAACTTAACTCACAACTAGGTCTGCAAGAACAACAAACGTTCTGACCCTCCCTCATCGAGAAACTCCAGCTTCGCACATAAGGTTAATGACGAGGGACCACAAGTTACTCTCCTGGGAAAGCTACATCGCTTTTTCTTCTTAGAAGAGGGTCCGATAGTTTGGACAACTCCACTTCAGCTCAGCCCATTATCAGAAACTAGTGGTTTCCGAAGCATAAGTACAACTCGAGGATTAACCTGTCTATGGTCGATTGAGTTTCTTCGGTGCCCTACCCATGACGCTGTCCCGATGCTAGTCGGGGAAGCTATTGATGACAACAATACACAGTTAGCTTATCGATCATAGGTAGTAATTATATTCCAATAGTCGACTTTCCAGTTCAGTGCCTCTGTAAGCTTATGTGTGCCCAACCGCTCAGCTACTCCAACGTAGACATCCTAACGTGGCCGAATATAGGTATATTCTTTTGGTTGGTAGGAAGGACGAGAGAGCTTTTGTGTCTTATCGGATATGCTTCCCTCTTAGGATTGATTCGGACCCGAGATCTCACTAGATGTATGTAGCTAACAAACGCATCAGCCCTACAGCTGCAACGCTCTAGACTAGACTTCTCAATCTAAGCCAGTTACGACTCTAGCGCTGCCTTCAGCTCGATAATCTGAGCCTCTCGGCCAGGCCGTTAGTCCATAATTCATTGCATCTCGATCCAATATCAAGCGGATCAACACACCATAGGGCTAGTTCCCAATATAGGTAACAAGTTGTGTCATATACGAGTATTTCAGCTGCCTTCTCTAATGGTTTATTGTTAACTAGTCCACTTACACGCCATAGTCGAGTTCTTTCGTCCATGAAGATCTCGACAAAAGAAGAAAAAGCAACTTGGTATGTGTTTTGATGGAAACTGGCTATGGAAACTTGACTGGTAATTTTTGGTTCCATAATGCAGCCTACATTTTCTAATAGATCAGATTGTGATGGAATTGCTTCAATGCTGTCAGATGTTATGAATAGTTAGTACAGATAAGTCACACGCGAAATGGGCATGAGTCTCTCCTCTCAGTCGTCATCCAGAATTATAAATGGGAAGGGAATGGGATATCCGGTTGCTAACGGATATAGGGTCTACGTTTTCTTCATTCGTTATACAATTTGATGCTCATGCAGCCGGCGCTTAAAACCCGCGCGTGTATGACCATAAATGACCAACACCTTACAGTGTCTAAGTGGTTTCTTCCTACTTAGTTGCTGAGAGACGTCTAACAGAATCAGGCTGGACATCCATTATCTTTCCTTCCGCCTTTCCGCGATTGAGGCTCAAATAAGCTGGCCAGTGGTATGGCTTACGGGACTGTGATACCACAGCGCAGATCACAGATGTTGCTGTCAGACGAATCATGATCGATTTCTGCACTCGTGTGACATCGACAAGATCTTCTTCCCGCCCTCTCTTACCAGTAAATTGCTGCTCACGGGCCGGACCGCCCGCCAGGTGTGTGACAAGTAGGGTACCTACTCAAGACTTGTGTAAGTGAAAGTGACACCTCCCAAGATGCAGATACCTTTCTTCTTATGATTGGGCGGCAGATACTTCTGATATCACGAGGGTGTTGGTTGGGCAAGAAAAGCTGGCGATGCCTCCTCCTCTACCTTCACCGATTCGAGATACGAATATATCCGGCGTCTTCAAGACACCATCTTCTCACGAGATCGAGGCTGAGCCTACTGATATAAAAACCCAACTGATGTTAATATTGACCGCTCTTTGTAACTTTCAACATTGTTTCGTCTCTAAATGCCGATAATTTGCTGAATCGGGGGATGGAAAAGGCATCCACAGGAAGGCCTCAGCGGGGCTGAAGCCGTGATGGATGGATGGGTGGGTAAAACGCATATAGATGGTAGTCAATCTCACCAACATTCATTGCTGGCCCGAGACTTTTGGCTCGCTCTCATGACGCAGCCTAATGGCCACATTCTCCAGAGATGCTATGTGTTAGACTAGCAGATATTGGACAATCGCATATAAGGCTTAAATTTGAGTACTCGAGTGCGTGTGTAGTCGTTCTTGTTGTCTCGAGGGGAAGAAAAAAAAACCCCAGGCTTTCAACTGCAATATGTGATGTTCGCAGTGTTGGCTAACACAAGGGTGCCAACTGAGACTTCCAGGCTCGCGAGGATGCCTACCATACCGTCCTCAGTGGTGCCCATCATTGCAGTCCGAAAGTATGAAGGCTGCCCTTTGAAAGACGAGAGGGTAGCATTCACAGATTCGTTGCATATAGTGAGCAAGAGCCTTGGATGTGTTTTTGTATTTTGCTGCCTTGCTGTTCAGGGGATGCAGTAAGATCTTTGCAACCAACGCCAACTGTGAGACAATATTGGGGGGAAGAGACACCAGGCTTGGGCGTCAACGAGAAAGCATTGTTATTCCAGCTTATCTGTATGATCTCATTCCGCAATATTCGCTCCCCATACTATGGTACTGGGAGATATTGGAGAAATCAAAACTTCTGCTTTGAGTAACAAGTCTTTTGTGTTGATAAGGAAGACGAATTGTGCAGAGACCCATGAGCTGGAGCATGCTGTGTCCTTGGGCAGTCAATCGAGTTCCCTCCACTCAGTCTGTGCCGCTTCATTTCAGGTTTTCTGAAGTGCTCCTTCGTCTTGTTCCATCGAGTTTACTCGGGCAAATTTCAGTTCCTTTTCTTTCCACAGGCAAGAGCTACCTCTGACACTTGCATCTGCTATTTCCTGTGTTAAATTTTTGAAGATTGAGTAATAACACGGACGTTCCTACCACAATTGGTCGCCCGGTTCCTCGGCCCCCACTCCCACTCCCGTCGGGAAAGAGGCCGGCAATCAAGCCCTCAAGCAACTCTGGACCCCTTTTCTTCGTTAGACGTCCAACTCGAAGGATTGAGAAACTTCTCATTCTGCGACTCGGACTCTCCGGATTTATTCTTGAGAAACGTTCAGCAACAGCTAGCGCTTGTTCTGCTTTTCACATAGCTAAGCGCCATGGATCGCACGACTCAATGGTTCCGCTACCCTCCGGCCACTTGAAGCACAGCAAGCGATCGTTTCGCAGATTTCTTGCTGTCGATTTTCAGCAACTCCTTTCGTTGGAGCGCCATTACCCTATGGGAATATGGATTAGCACAACACGATTGAATGTCTTGAGCTATCGCAAGTGCGACGGGTTGATCTCAAGCTGGCAAGCGACCCTAGCAATCTGGAGTTATCTGTATCTCGCACCTTGATGTCAGGCGCATAGTGGACGCAGTATGAGCACTATCGGACACCGCCCACAATTGAATGGAAAGAAGGCAAATATGCCTTCAACCTCGACGATGACTTTTCTGAAGAATATCAGGACGAGCGTGGTGCAAACCAAGGTCACTCTGAACATAGGTCAAGTTTGGAGTGTACATGTCGAAAGGCGGTCAGAGTACCCAGGGTTACTGTAGGACTCGGCGTCTGGAACATTGAAGCCATGGCCTAGGTACTACAAAGGCTGGGGGGCTCAATCGACAAACGTTGGGCTAATGCCAAACAGAGAACGCGTTATCGGGTCAAATTACCAATGGACTAGACCTGTCAACCCCTCGCCATTATATTCTTTCCATATCGACGAATACGAAGTGAAGCACAGTGATGGCACTGAGGAAACTGATGCGATGCAAATTTTAGTCTTTTGCCAGCGGAGAAACTGAACGGAAGGGGTTCGACGCTTGATTTGGAAACAAGGCAACTCTTCTGCCTTCCCAGTTCGCCCGCAATTGTGAAGCCGGAGACAACCTCAAACCCGAAACGGCATGCAGATAAGCAATGAAATTGGCACCGACCATCTCCAATACGCCATTTCTTACTCAAAATAGCACAACTAACTCTCTCTCTCACACACACACTAAATTACAGGGCAGGTTCAAAATCACAATCAAACCAGCACCGACCAAGGTGATTACCAGACAGGCATGGTACTATGTACGGAAAGTACAAGTGGGGCATTTCTATAGCGACGATGGGAGAGACGCACGCAAAACACGAAGTACCGCCATTTGGTACTGGAGATGCAAGAGACCATTGAGCCGATGACTCTTGCTTCTGTTCCAAGTTTCTTTTCCTTCGGCAATCTATCAGTGTTAACCCGGAATGTCCATGCATTGGCATCAAGGGCGACTAGAAGGGAGAGCCCCTATTGTGTTTTGTCACCGCTTCAAGTTCCTGCACGCCAGTGGAATCTAATTTCCCATTCGACTTATTCCTGGCGTTCGTCTTGGGTCGGTTGAAAACAAAACATGGTGCTGGAAACTGACATCGGGTTAGTAAACGAAGCAGAGAGGTTGGGTATGACCATACGAACATTCGAGTAGCAAGCTATTGAACATTTGTCTACAATAGACACATTCTCAAGTACACCTGGTCAACCATCAGTCTGTCACATACTTGTGGAGGCCATGCTCTATTTGTGATTGAAAACCTGTAGCGGACGTTGTTGCCTAGCAAGTGACATAGGCGTGGATTGACCAGAGGTACCTGCCTTCTAGCGATTCAACAAGCGACAACCGATTGATCTACTGGGGTCGTTGCAGAGCCTGACATCTCCGCTCTTCACTCGTGCCTTTTTCTCCTGTTCTCGACATCTTCACCTTGCCCTCCTGTGATCTACCATCACGCCTGTGGCACGTATCTTCGTGACAACGCGCCCTTCGTCTATTCCAACACTTGCCCTCTCCTATATACCAATTTCTTACGCTTGGTGTGCTCTACGCCTCCTGACTTGATACGAATTCATGCTCACTTCGCTCTGTAGCGAGAGAATTACCAAATTGCACACAGTACACGCACCATTTCGATACAGAGGAGTACCTCGGATTCCCAACACTACCTACATATGAGAAATAACTAACACTATTCCCAGGACTTCCACTCCAAAAACTGCCATAACAGCTCAGTTGCCGCGTAAAAGATTCGCCATAAGCCCTGCAAACGCCAGAGAGGTCAATAGCGATTTCTCGAAGCCCTTGAGTACCCCCTGGCTCAGCCAGCCAAAAGCTATTACGAACGCTATATAAACCGCCACTTCCCCAGTAGTTGATTCGACGTTCAAGGATTGGATCCCAGCAGGAGCACAAGTGAAAAGCCCGATGATGAGGCTAAGGACTGTGAAGAGTGCAAACTTCATCAGCCCTTGGCGGTAGTATGTCTGGGTGCCTTTCCCAATCGTTTCTACCTTCACACGGAACGGTCTCTGGTGATTGTCACTACAGATCGCTCCTCGAGTAAAGTAAGGGGTGACTCACGGCTAGTGCTTTCCCAACCTTGGTGGTCAGGGCGAGGGTGATGAGTTGATCCATCTTGTCTGTCGGATTGAGTGACGCCCAGTCATGAGCCGGTTCGTCAAGGAAGCGCGTATCCTGATCCTCTAGTATAACTCTCATGTTGTCCAAGAGCTTCTTCAAGTATCTGCTTTTTGGCTGACTGAGACCAAGTATCTGGTTTGTTTGGGTCACCATTTCGCCTACCATCCGATTAACTTGTGTTGGTCAAAGAGCTTCCCACTTGTATGGCTCTTACCATATCTCATTATTGTTTCAACAAGTTTGTTCAAAAGCTCCGGGGCTTCTTCGCCCGCCTCGTGAGCTTTTTGCAGTGCTGTATAAAGGGAGTCGGCACGATTCGCGAATTGCCCGATACAAAACGCATAAATTTCTGTGTGACGGGGAAATACCATGTGTCTTGGGTCACGTTGCTGCTGTTGAGACATGCGAAACCACCCCTTGGGTTCGTCTGCCACGGATTTTAGCACTTGTTAACGACATCGAGACTCAGCAACGTACCTTGACCCTTGGGCTGTCCCTCCAGATCTACTTCAAAGGTAGGTCAGTGTTGCTCCAATGACGATCTTGTGTCTATGATGTGGTACCTGATCCGTTGAGTGTTTCCCCTCTCATCGGAAGCTCAAAGCTTTGAGGCTGCTCAACGCCGCCATGGGCTGTTCGCGGCTCGTCGGGTAGAGACATGTTGATGCAAGACAATCTAGGAGCAAAGGAGTTTGTGCTTTCTGACTTTTGAATGTGGCTTTTGACCGAGCCTGGATAAAACAGTTCACGAGGGCTTTGACGCCTTTTATCTTCGAAGATGGCCCGTATCTTTTTGGACGATCTTTCGCCCAGTTGAAGGCAATCAGGCTCGCTTCTGCTACTGCCAACACCACACACACACACACATATGCACACATACACACCATCCTCACACCGCAACTGCGGGTGCCTTGCTGTTTTATCGTTGTGCCTTTCTCGACCACAGCTTCAACATGCAATTACTATGTATATGCTGTATGCAAAGCAGTCGGGCTATGCCGAGAAAAAGCAACAACACAATGTGACATACATGACTGGCGGTCTCACCTGTCAGACATTGGCGCACCTGCAGATTGCAGCAGATCGAGGCCTGCGACATGTCACATCCATGCCCCCTACCGTACTTTGGCAGTACCAGGCTTGTAACTCAGTTGCTCGGCCCCTGACCTCGACCAACCAACGCTATCATGCGCCTGATAAACGCTTGGTCGTGTAAGTAACGAATCATGTGAAACTACGCGCCTATTCGAACAACCGATTCACCAGTATTGCTCGCCATGTCTGATGCTGTGGTTTTTTGGTTTAAAAAAAAATAACACTGGTAGGGTGACATTGAGAACTTGGAGGACGAGAGTTTTATAGACTTTGGTAAATGAATGTATTGTCAAATCTAACTGCATAATCTCCTTTTAACCCATTAAATACTCCCCGAAGGTGCATTGTTGCTCAATAGAGCAACCACTTCTTTTTGAAATAATCTCCCCAGCTATAAACCCCCAGATCCCCCATTTTTGAGGGTACATTTATTATGATCTGAAATTTGATGGTCAGAGAAACTGCTAAAAGTCAGGTCTGGGATATGCTGAGTACATACATTGGCAAGTTCCGACCTTTTTGTTCTTCTGTTTCTTCCTCCTTCAAACCGATATATGTTCAACTCGTGTAGATGCGTAGAGGCTGTATCAGAGACTCAATGGCGGAGCAGCTCTTACTAGCACCATCTGGAGGACTATGAAATGGCCTCTCTTGGCGTAACGGGATCGTTATGAGGCGCTTATCATGGAATGATCATAGCACCAGCAGGAGGCTCGGGGGAAGGCTCAGGGGAAGGCTTAGGGGAAGGCTTAGGGGAAGGCTTAGGGGATTCCGGTATGGTGATAAACGAATCGTGAGAATGCTTAGGGGAAGGCTTAGGGAGAGACCTGGAGGGATCCGGCATGATGATCGCTATTTCTTTGTGCTCGTAAGCTTTTGTTCTGTGCATGATGGATAAAAGACAAAAAAAGGCTGAATGAACTCGTGAGAGAACAAGTGTGATAGTTGCTTGGTTTGCTACAGACGAGCTTCCGACTCAAGCTCTTATAGTTCCCTGGCAAGAGAACGCAACGGTCTAGCTCCTTCTATTTACTTCGCTAAGCTATCTTCTCAAAGCTGTTAATCTCAAGAAAAAGCAACAAGACCCCATCTATAGAGTAGTACCGGGGATAAACGGCCGCTATTCACGGTGTTGAACGACCGTGCGGAAGCATAAGCGAGTTAAGCTATCGAATGGGACTCTTTACCATCTGCGTCTTACGATGAATTGGGCATAGAACATTGTGGCTTGAGAAGACTTTTCACCTTGGTGCGTTTCAAAAACGATACATCAGCGCCATGGCATGCTCAGAGTAGCATTCACGGTTCGTTTCGTGAGTGCTCGCCTATCATAGGAGGGCTATTTCGGCGGTCAGAAGTATCTTAAGAGGATGATCGTCCTTTGACTCATTAAATACCACGACCTTGGCTGCAAGCTTCAGCTGAAGAGAGCCTTCTCGTAGAGGTAATTGCAAGGCGAGATCTTCTCCTGCTCGATTGTAGCAAGGAGACTCATGAAGATGAACACTAATCACTATTAACGGCCCACCTGAACTGGTACTTGATGCAAAGTACACGGGGATGAAGGATAAACAAGCCCCCCAGCCACCGCGGGAAGTTCAACTTCCTCCCGATGACATTCAATCCATGGTTCCTTGGAGGCAGCCGGGTCTTAGTGTAGTATTCGAGAAAGTCCTACGCCCAAGCTAGCGGTATAATGTTGGCAAGAACACAACATGATGGTTTAATTTTGATTGCTCCATTGTCTCATTCAAGCCCAGATCTTGAGATTCTTCAAACCTCTCAGTGAAGAATAAAGAAAGAGGGAGGCCATACGATACACCAGAATTGAACATCAATGGTTGAGAGGTGAGAGGATCTACACTAGGTGCAACTTCACGAACGTTGTATCTCTGTTACGATGTCAGTAACTGGCTTATCCTTTCATACTTGGCGCCAAGTCCTTGTTCTTTTGCTATTTGTTTTGGCCTCCTTCACACTGTCTTTTCAACCCTATTTCTTTAGTACCTTGCCTTGACTCTTAGTCTAGTTTGATGCAGACCAGGATGCAGGTACAGTGCAGACTCCACTATGATACACAACGGGTGAAAGCTGATTTGCTAGAAGGTTAGTATTTAACAATGTTGAACTTCCATGGCTAGGTAGGTATCAAGACGAATACGGCCTTGAAGTAGTCGACTCGTCACTTTTCTGTCAAAGTGAGGCTGTATCAAACAGAAATCAAGTACCAATAAAACATCTTTTACTATCCTGGCTTGCTCGTGCTGATGTCTCATTGGCTTTATCGACCGTTCATGTGGCTGGGTGTCATGGCCGTTGACAAACCACCGGGATCTGAGCTGATGGCTGACAGGGGCAAATGCACAGATACTTACTCTTTCTCTTTCAGCTTGTTTACACTTGAATCATTTGTGAATATTTCATCTTTAGTTATGCTTCCTTCCATGGATGTACTGTAGTAGGTACCAAGTTATGGAAGCAGTCGAGTTGGTTCCATGTGGGGCCATCGCTAGCGGTTATCTCTTATCGTTCGTTATCTTAGCTTCTCCAGGGAAAAAAAGTTATGGAAGGTTCCACCAAGACTTCCTTCTCTCGACTGTTCATTCAATATTTCAAGATTTCATTAATTCAAAATGCCCAAACCCAGAACAAGACGCGGCGCTGATCGCGAAGAGAAGAAGAGAAAGAGACTCGAAGATACCGAACAGCAGCAGTCACACGAGAACGACTCTAAGCGCCAGCGCACTTTCGAAGACGACGACAACAACAATGGCTACGACTATCAAGGCCAAGATCTTCAACAGGATGGCCCTGGTGAAACCGAGTTCTTCGGCATGCTTGCTGAAGAGGAGCAAGAATACTTCCGACGGGCCGACGAAATGCTAGAATTGAACCAATTCCCCTCGACTGAAGACCGCGACATCTTCCTCGAAAATGTTTACAAGGAGGCTGAAGGCAAGGAGCTCAAGCTCGCCAGCAGTCAATCTTGCTCGAGACTGATGGAGCGAATTATTCAACTCTCCAATACTGCACAGAAGAAGCATCTCTTTGAGGCTTTTGGCGGACACTTCCTGTCGCTTGTTCAGCACCGATTCGCCAGTCACTGCTGTGAAGCCCTCTTCTTGCGCTCGGCAGGTGTCGTATCGCAGGAGCTTTCTGGCTTTGTGGTTGACACCAAGGGCACTGATGCAGACATAACTAAGCCTGAGACCTCAATGGAAGATCATTTCCTGGCTACACTCGATGAGCTCGAAGGTGCTCTGTCCTATCTTATCACTGATCGGTTCGCATCCCACACTCTGCGTGTGCTCTTGCTCATTCTGGCTGGTCGACCTTTGGAAGATGCTTCAGTTCGAAGTCTCGTCAAGAGCAAGAAGAAGGAGAAGATTTCCGTTGCCGGATCTAGCGCGACAGATGAAGCGAACCAGGGTTTGAGAGCGGTGCCTACATCTTTCGGCTTGGCAGCTAAGAAGATTATCCAGGACTCGACTGCTGGAATGGATGCTACTGCCTTGCGAGTGCTCGCCAGACATCCTGTCGGAAACCCTACGCTGCAACTTCTGCTTGAGCTCGACCTTACGCTTAACAAGAGTGACCAAAAAGCAGAGTCTGATCAACCGACTCTACTCTTTCAGCTCCTGCCTGGTGCTCCCAAATCTTTGCATGACGGTTCTTCGGAGGCTTCTGAGTTTATCAACGGCATGATCTACGATCAAGTCGGTTCACGACTTATTGAAACCCTTATCACCCACTCCCCCGGCAAAGTCTTCAAGGCCATGAATCAGAACATCTTCCTGCCCAGAATCGAGGGCTACGTCCGAAACGACATCTCTTCATACGCTGCCATCCGCGTTCTCAATCGACTGAGCAAAGACGATCTTGTCCAGGCCGTGGAGAAGATTGCACCCACTGTGCCTCAACTGGTCGCCAAGTCTAGACTCAACGTTCTCAAGACACTGTTCGAGAGATGCCATGCTCGTGGTGCCAACGACGAGATCAAGAAGCTTAACAAGGGACTGAAGGAGGGATGCGGCAAGACACCAGCCGACCTGGTTACTTTCCTTTGCGGCCTGAAAGATGACGAAAAGAAGCAGAAAGATGTTCAGCAGTTGTCCAAGAACGAATACGCTATTCAATCTCACGGAGCTCAGCTCCTAACTACTCTCCTCTCGATCCCCGGTCCTACCAAGGGCGTCCAGGAGTCTCTTCTTGCTCTCGAGCCAGCTACCATTGTTCGCCTCGCCACCACCTCTATGCCTACAGTCACCGTCCTCACAACCGCCTTGTCCATCTCCTCCACAAACCCTGCTTTCCACAAGTCCATTGCCAGTGCCATCATGCCTCATACCCATGAGCTTGCCGTATCGCAATTTGGCCACAACCTGATCAACGCTATTGTCGAAGTCCCCAGCAAGGGCAGGGAGCGAAGCATCCCTTTCCACATGAAGGAGGCCTTTATGGCACTGCTTGGTGAACACGAGGCAGAACTTCGAGACAGCTGGATGGGTAGAAGTGTCTGGCGTAACTGGAAGGGCGATATGTGGAAGACTCGTCGTGGAGACTGGAAAATCTGGATGAAAGAGGTCGATGCCAACATTCCTTCAACCCTGCCTCACCGGGGACCCAAAACTACCGAGAAAGAGAAGCCCAAGCCCAGACATACCCGGGAGGCTGTAGATGAGCCTGTTGTCCAGGAGCCTGTTGTCCAGGAACCTGTTGCTGAAGTTACTGCTGTTGAGGAGGACAGGATGGACGTGGACGAGCCAGCTCAAGAAGCCCAGGATGATGATGAAATCAAGAAGAAGAAGAGCAAGAAAGATAAGAAGGAGAAAAAGGAGAAAAAGGAGAAAAAGGAGAAAAAGGAGAAAAAGGAGAAGAAGAAGAAGAAGAGTAAGTCTGATGAGGACAAGGTAGATGAAGAGTAAAAAAGCGTTGTCAAAAGATAAGTGGTCACAGATACCCAGATTTGAGCCAAGAATAATTACTTTATTTGTTTAACCCGTGTATATATGTCGATGAGCTTTCCACCAATGTGAATTGTGCCATAATGTTTGTTTCTTTCCGGCTCAAAGATGAGAAGGTTGAAGAGTCTCAAACACAGCAACAGCGTTGATAGGCATGAGAAGGTTGGTCATGACAGCACATATATAGGAGTGCATAATTATAGTTACATAGTTATTACATACATGGCATTCAGCATGTCTCCATGTGCCAAGAAGCGAAGCATGAAATGGCTGCGTAAGATCATTGAGTGGTCTTTGGCTTGTTCTCCTATCTTAGATCTTGAGTACTTCTCAGTGTGCAAACTTCGTGTCGACTTACAGTTCAAGGAAGACGCTCGGAATATGCACTACACAGCATCTACGAAAACAGATCCGCCATCTACCATTCCTCATAATCGCATCACAAAAGCGAAAGCACATCCAACCTGTGCGCCAGGGGTCAGAGGAATTGGCTGCTGTAGCTATAGGAAACGAAACAATCGAGTTACATTATGGATGCAAACTTAGCCTGGCGCATGGGCTACTCTATCTTGACGCCTTAAGCCTTGGAGGCCAATTCGTCTATTGCCCACCTACTGGGGTACGATGAACCATTGGGTCTTTTCTGACCTGCACACCGTGCAGTTTGTTGAGGAACAAGCAAGTCTCTCTAGCTACAACGTGTTTACTTCCTGCGTGAGCAAGACTTTGCTTCGTGCTACCGTATGGCTCATGGCTGGTCATTTTCTCGTAGGTTTTACACCACGGCACAAGGTCGACCTAATCTCATGTGTTTAAAATCGGGGTTATGCAAAATAAAACTCGGCCGGGCCTTTCTTATCAAACCCGTATGCTCTTCACATGCGAACGAAGGTGGGATTTAGGTAAAGAGCAAATGAAATTCGAACACCTGCAGGATGCACAGGTGAAGTTGAATTAAGACGGGTCTCTCCGTCTCTATTTTCAGTAAAACGCGGCATGCACGGAAGTGACGCCGGAAATCCCGGGGCTGGGGCCAGTGACGGCCTACGAGTAGTCCGACTTACATCAGGGGCCAGGCTGCCATGCACCGGATCAGTTTGTCTGCCAAACTTATCTTCTGAAGCGCCTGCTTTCGTACTGTTGCCCTATCCCGAATTTCGAAGAAAGGTTGCCGAGTGTGTTGGCTAAACAAACTCTCGGTAGTTCTGGTCTGTTCAGAAAAGGAGGGGGAGGCGGCGGGGTCGCTGCTCTTTATTGTAGTGAGAGAGCTGACTGAACATCAAGCTAAAGATGAAGTTGAAAGCTCATCTCTCAGTGCAAGCAACTCTTTGGCCAGAGGTCAACACCTTCCATGCTGCTATCGCATCCTAGTGGTTGCGTTGATGCGAAATTAGATTGTCAATCTTGGCTGACGGACGCAGCCTCTTCAACAAGACTAAAAGATTCGGCCGGCATCGTCAAACCGTGGGAAATCTAGAACTAAGTGAGGTTAAGAAGGTGCATCCTATCACAAGAGCTTTCCCTGCCACTGTTGTGACAAGCCGTCTGCATTGGATGAGACCCAAGGAGTCAGTTGCGCGACACGTCAGCTGGCTGCGGGCAGCTTGAAGACTCCCAGCCGTGCTAGAGACATCGGTCGGAGAATTATGAAAGTTGCAGAACAACTTTGTTGGCGTCTGGGTGTCAGAAGAATTGGCCGTTGAGGGCATAAGAGACGAAATAATTCGATCACCTTATGCGATCTTAGACCAGTAGCTAGGCTACTTTATTTATGTAGCCTATGGAAGCCTTTGAGGATAATTCTTCTGACACCCAGCTAGGTTAGTTAACTCAACTTTGCATGGTTGCATGCGTCTGTCCCTGGTCAAAAGTTCCAAAAGTGAGTGGGTGAGAAAGACACCCAAGTCTCGGACGGCCGCAATCGATCACATGATTTCGCGTCCACCAGGTGATGAAAGGTTCGCGGGACATGACACAATTATCGTGTAAACTCATGATAAGCCATGGGGTGGTTTCATAGTGGATCGAGGACGCGGGATTCCTCCGGCGTCCACAGGCTGGATAGCCTTTTCCTTTCTTTTTCAGAGCCTGCGAGTGGTGTGATGGAAGGAGGTGCTCAACGCTCACTAAGGGTGGCGATTTGTCTGAGATGGCGTTGGTCATATTTTCCAAATGGCTGTTGAAGTTCCAACAAAAAGTGACAGATCTTGTTGATAACAATAAGGGCCCATGCCGTGATTAAGACTCAATTGAGACCTCAGATCTCGCCAATCTCTGCACAGCAGTTTTGCCTTCACACCATTATGTTCAAGAACCCAGCATCAGCCAACATCTGCCGCAGGGGAATAAGACTTGCGCATCATGTCGTATAAATGATTCAATCCGATATCATTCTTCGGCAAGTAGATCAGAAGGGATGGACAAATCCGTTCCGAACCCTGTTGTTAAGGGTTGTGACTAGCGAGCCATGCCATGGAGGCAGGGGATCATCTTTGGGGTGCTGCGGTGATGTTGATGTAATGCCTCATTACAAATCAGCTCGCGTTGTGTCTCCTCAATTGGAAATAATTTACAAGTTTCGAGGTTGCATCTGCTGGAGAAAGGGATATTTTCAGCAAATGGCCAGACCCGCTGTCGAATTCGCCACGATCGGGAACTTGCGTTGGCGGCCGCGTCTTGAAGCTGGAGGCACTACAGCATGTATGCACATGCTCCAGGCTGCTGGAATCTTTGGGTGAACAATTTATCTCGGTTTCGTTGCGAATGAATAAGCCTCGGGCTTGCATCGAAGCTTGGGAGGACTATTGTCAGGAAATCTGGGGTAGATCTGTGTTAGCAACGAATAAGCAGACAGGACGAATCGCCTCTCGCCAATCTTCACGCATCTCAAAGGCTTGAGTGATCTTCTGTGCTACCCTCTCTATTGTCTTGATCTCATTTCGACGTCTTGGTAGCAGACAATTGGGCGGGCTTTGTTGGACCTGCGAATAGCGTTTAGATTAGCTCTCGGAGGCTCTAGACACGGGAACCAATCTCATCGTGCGGGAGACGTCATAGTGAAGCTCATTTTTGGTCAAAAGCAGTGCGATTGTTAAGCAAGGATGGGAATGTTTTGGGATCTACACTGAGATGCCTGCAATTCCCATGGCTAGCTTGGCCAGCTTGTGGCTGGTGCCGAATGGACTGGGGATTGGCGTGGCGTCTAAACGTGGCACTGGAGCGGAGGTCCGATAGATCTATTCCTCAACAGGCATAGCGTGTAAAACTGCCGGGTCGCATGCAGCAGGGGAAATTGTTAGTGCAGCAATGTAGTTTTGTGTACCTACCGTGCAGTGGACGCAGTCCACAAGGGAATGCGCACCGGAGAGAACGTTCCGGATTAAAAGGTCCGGCATTGCATGTTGCTACCTATTGAAACACAGTGGGTATCCGTAGATTTCATTCAACAGCGAAAAGCAAAGTATGCAGCCATACTCTGTAGATGTGATTCGAACCCGAGTCAAACCTATGCGTTGGCAGAGACACGCATACTCACAGCATAGAGCCACAGACTCTGTCTGAGGTGATTGATTTGGGATCTGTACAGTACGGTAGAGTAGCCCAGATATCACATATGATCAAGTTCCACAACCTCGAACCTACCTAGCCAGTCAATTCAATTATCTGCGGACAGGCAGAGAGAAAGAGGCATCTGGCATTGTGCAGCAGAAACAGCCAACAGCCAACAGCCA